CAGGAATGATGATAAAAGCTGGAGTGAAGCGGATTTTAGGAGGCCAAAATCCTGAAATCCTTCCTGGTTAAATCTCCAGGTTCCTCAGAGATGAGCAGACATTAGGAGAAGTCTGCAGAGCCCTGACCAGGCAGCTGAAGCTGCAAGACCGAGATGTTTAAAAAAGAAATTCCCAGCTCAGGCTCCTTCTCTGCGCGACGCGTGTGTTGTGACAGCTCAGGAGATTAGTTTTTCTGCGTGCTGGCATTCTGCTCTGCTGAGTTTACATGGATGTTGAAGAGCAGGTTTTCCTGTGTTGGGAAAAGGCTGCGTGCCAGAGCACACTCTGCTTCTGGAAAAAAATCACCGTGGGTTTTGTGCTGTTGAGCAGAAGCACAAAATGAAATTACAAAGCCATTTTCTTCATTTTTTTCATTTTTCTTGTTGGCCTGCCCCAAGACCTATTGATTATTTGAAATACTTTCAAGAAGCTGGATATCAGAGCTGTTGTTTTAACCTATCTGTTATATTCCCAGGTTAAAATTTCCCAAGCTTGTTTTTCTAAAAGCCTTATGAACTATTTTTTGCTCAAAGAATTTTTAATGACTTGTTTTCTGCAAGTTGGCAAAGGGCAGTTGTTTTTGAAATTATTCACAGGGAAAAGCAAAGCCATATTCTCATTTTAATATTCTGGGAACATTTCATTCTGCAGCTTACGTGCTTTAGTTTTGTATATTTTTAAAGCTGGGGTAGTTTAAAAGGAGTTCTGTTTTTCTGCTTGAGACTACATATATTTCACTGTCAGATGCTTTTATTTTCATTCTGCTGTGTGCTATAACTGCATGACACAGCAGCTATAATTAACTCTTTCAACGTTCTATTCACAGAACATAAAAACTTTGACTTAGTTTTGAATTATTATATCCATGTTTCTTCAATTTGCAAAGTAATGAGGCTTTCTCTAAAAAAAAAAAAAGGGAATTGTTCTTGCTACCATTTTTTTTTTTTCATCTTCAAACAGAGTCAGGAAATTATGAATATTTTTTTCTGGAATATCTCATAAAGTCTTGATGTGCTGAGGATCACATATCCCTAAAACTCCCTGGGGAAGCAGAAATTACCAGCATGATCCTTGTTTCCCAAAGCTGTGTGGAACTCAAACTCTTGTTGTGGAGTTTACCACCCTGTTGGGCTGCTGCTCCATTGCCTCCATGTCTTCCTCCCACCCCAGTGGAATGCTGTGTTTTTAACAGTATGTTCCATATTTTAAAAATTCTTATTTAAAAAAAAAAAAAAAGCAGCTAAAAATAGCCTGTTCCCATTTAAAACACTGCTTAGACAGAAATTCAATGCTGCCTCTTACTTAAAAGATATAATCTTAGCAAAGCAGAATATTTAAAATGCTTTAAAAGGGACGTAGTTGATTGTAGGACTGAGCATCTAGATTTGAGAAGGGAAAATAAAGATGTGTGCAGGGCAAAGCCTTGCTGCAGCCCTGAAATCCTATTTTAGCCTTCCCCAGGGGAATGGTGAACCACGTGGCCCTGCTCTCAGCTTGGGAATTATTTTCAGATACTCTCCACACACATTCTCTGGCTATATTTGTGTATTGAAAGAATTTTCTCCATCCTTTGCCAGTTTGTTTCACAGTAATAGGGGGTTGCTGATCTTACCCCTTGTGACTTGGACTTGGTGTTACCTCCTTGTGGTTGGACTTGATGATTTTGAAGGTGTTTTCCAACCAGGATGATTCTGTGACTACTGAAGACCTCTTCATGTGGGGTTTGTCCTCCTTTTCCCAAAACACTGTAGAGAAGAACTTAAATTTAGTGAAGACCTGAGGTGGTCCAGCGTTGCCAGAGTAGGCAGAGAGGTATAAACTGGCAAAAGATGAAGAGTGAATTGCATCATACTTTACTTTTACCAATGGAGTAGTTCATGGCGAGGGCTCAAAAGCAGGTTGCATGATGCAGGGGAGGCACAGATTAAGGTGCTTTACAAATGTAAAAGAAAAACGAGGCTGTGAAACAGGCATCTCAGTAGCGGGAAACACAAGAGCTTTGGATTGGAAGAGGAAATGTTTCTTATATTCGAAGTAGCAGGTTGTGTGGTGCAGGGTGGCTGGCCCTTGGCATGCAGCAGGGCCACGCTCAGAAGAGGAAGGCAGGAGGAAGGGCTCAGTTTTTCACTCCTTTTCTGGCATGGCTTTATTTTCTTTCCCAAAGTGCCACTGAACTTCCTCCTCTGGGGATGGCGCAGTAGGAGGAGAGTGTGTGGGAAAGGCACCAATGTGTGAAGCGGCTCCATGTCAAGCGGGTGGGAGGGTTGTAATGAGAGGGTGAGCCTGGGAGGAGAGCTGCTTGTGTTTGTTATGACTTCTACATTTTTGATCTTTTTGTTCTGTTTTATTTTGGTCTGGTGTGTTTTTAAAGTCGTTGGGTTGTTTGTAGGCATATTGGGACAGAGATTGCCCTCTTCTGTGTGTCCAAATATAATGGAGAGCCCAGGGGCTTTTAGTAATGTGCCACAGCTCTTGTTATGCCAAGATTTTCAGAAAGAAAACCAGTTTTCTGGAATGTTTTGAGAAAAATGACTCTGTCACTGCTACTCTGTACAGCCACAAAAAAGGGATTTAATAGAAGAGGTCACAAAATCAAATTGTCACAATCATTAGAATCCTGAAATGGTTTCCATGAGAAAAGACTAGAAAAAGTTAAATAGCTTTAATGGAAAGAGGGAGTGTAAGAAGCCTATGAAATTAAGATCAATCTGCTTAACGTTTTTCTGATGCAATGTGGAGAGGAACATAAAAAATCCAGTCGAAAGCAGCAAATTTAAAACTGACAGGGTTATTTTTATACGTGGCAGATCTCCCCCCTCCAGCCTCCAAGTTAAAATTCCAGCAGAATTTTTTAGAAGGCTGTTCGTGTAATGGAGAATGCAAGTCTCCAGGGTTATGTCAGACAAAATTATTTTTAGTGATGTTATAAGCCCTCATGCCTGGGGGAAGAAATCAGCCACTGAAGAAGATGATGTGTCCCCACTGGGCAGGCTTTAATAACATTATTCTCTGCATTTCTTCCTCTCCTCTTAACGATCTGCACCACCAAGAGCCAGTGGACTCGATTGACTCCCTGCATGATCTAATATGCAAATCCGGTTCTGCCATAATTATTGTTTGTAAAAGATGTTCTTGGGTCTGGAGTCTTCATACCCTCAAGTTGAGGCTGGGCAGTGATAGCATTTTCTGGTCCGTACTCATCTGCCCAGGTTCTTATCAAGCAGTTGACCAAAGAAACTCGCCAGGATTTTCTCACACGAGATTTTTGTGTCATCAGAGGACAGATATTTTTTTAAAGATACCCAAGAGGCAATAAGGAGAACCCCAGGGTCAGCTTTGGGATTGACAACAGCACCTGAGAGCACAGTAATATTTCTTTTTTGCACATGAGAGCTCTGGGAGGGATTTTAGCTTCAGCAGGTTTCTGGGCCCTGTATGTGTTTCTCCAGTCTTCCCACACAGCTCCTAAGCTGATATAACGTTGTGTTACACTTAATGAAATTTCCACCATTGTCCGGGAGTGTAACAGGATCTATCTGACATTTTACCCGTATTCTGTTCCCCTGACTGTCTCCTCTGAGGGCTTTGTAGGAGAACATTTGCAGAATGACTCTGAATTCCTGTGTGTAACTGGACTATGTCACAGAAACTGGATTTTCCACAAGCGAAGGAGAGAGGAAGGCCTGTAGACAAGCACAAACTCTTTGACATTTTGCTTTTGCAACAAAACACCCATGTCCTCTGGTCACTTTGCATCACTGTGCCCTCATCTGTTTCCTCCGTGCCCTTTCCAGCAGTGACTCCAGCAGCAGCTCGAGCGACGAGTCCCCAGCGCGGTCGGTGCAGTCGACAGCCGTCCCAGCACCTGCCTCCCAGCTGCTTCCATCTCTGGAGAAAGATGAACCCCGGAAAAGCTTTGGGATCAAGGTTCAGAATCTTCCAGTGCGCTCAACAGGTAAATCCACTTGGGAAAGGGAAATAGGGGAAAAAGGAATAGGAAGCAGGTTAGGGACTGGTTAAATAACCTTTATTGTGGCTTGGACGTGGCAGCTTGTGCTGCCTCCAGGGAGGGGATTCTCTCTCTGCTTCTGCTTGGGTTCTTGTGGGATGATGGGAAAAGTGCACAATTAGTGACCATCTGTGAGAGATCCTGCAGGTCCCCAGCTCGAGTCCCTGGGCTGAAGCAATTACAGCTACAGGAACTGGTGCTTGAAGACAGTGACATGGATTTCCCCAGGGAAAAAACCTGAAGCATCTCAAATTTGTCATTTAAAACTCAGACCATTTATTCTTGCCATGCCTCCAGTTTCTTTTTTGTGTAACAGAAAAACTTCAGGGTTTTCTGTTGCAATGTTGAGTACTGGAAAACACGGGTGAGCGTGTTCCTAAAGGCATTGGATATTGTCTGGTAAATAAGGCCAGAAACCACTCCCTGAGGAGTGCAGAGGATCACTCTTCTCCCTGTGCTGATTGTGGAAGAGATTCCACAGACAAAAAAAGAGCATGGGATTGTTTGGAAACCAGTTGTAACATAATTCATGGATACAAAGGCACTGTCTGAATTAAAATAATGTACATGAGCTTTGGGAGCAGCACACCTCACAGTGTTCATGTTCTTTCTAGAGGTTTTGTTTCTGTGATACTCCTTGAAGTGACGTGACATTGAAGTAAATACCCCGCAGATCCCAGGCAGATCATGTGGTTGTGAGTCAGGTTTTGGAAAATCTGATGAATCTGTCTGGTTCTCCCTCCTAACTGACTGAACCCAATGTTGTGTAGCTTTGATATCCATTCCAGGTGCTTCATCCCAGCTTTGGAAAACTGCTCTATGCAGTATCCATGTGGGATTATTAATGAAGTAACAGCATTTGTTTCTTCTTCATCTGGAGCTGGATGTCTCTTAGGAGTAATAACTGTAGGCTGACAGCTTCAGTGATGTGAGACCCTGTGTGTGTAGCTTCATGGGTTTAAAAATCAAGGCAAAGAGAAGGATCAGCCAGAAGCTTTTGACTGTGGCATAATTAACACCCAAAAATTAAAGTGAAACTGAGTCAAGTCACATTTCAGAAGGCAGATCAGATTCCTTTATAATACCAGTGTTTCTTTCTTGGTCTAGACACAAGCCTTAAGGATGGACTTTTCCATGAGTTCAAGAAGTATGGAAAGGTGACGTCGGTGCAGATTCACGGGGCTTCGGAGGAGCGGTATGGGCTGGTGTTCTTCCGGCAGCAGGAGGACCAGGAAAAAGCACTAAATGCCTCCAAAGGAAAACTTTTCTTTGGCATGCAGATTGAAGTCACAGCCTGGATAGGACCAGGTAAGGTCCTTTCCATTCTCCCCTGGATGTGTGACAGCTCTGGACATATTCACAGGCTGTTATGAAGAGGCAGCGCAGGAGTAGGAAATGTTAGAACTGCCTTTCTGGAGAAATATGTTCTAAAGAAACTGGGAAATACACCAGAATAAATTCCAGAGCAAGAAGAGTGGATGCTCTTGGGTCGAACGGGGAGAGAGTTCCAGTCTGAAACCTCAAAGAAGGAAACCTGCCATCCTCTCAAACACAATCTGCTGGCTTTTGGAAGAAACTATCTCATCTTCCATGTCTCAGTGGAACAGGAGCCAGTGGGTGGTGGAAGCACAGCACTGAGTCCTCACAGGCTTGGTTTTTCTGCTTTTAATTAAAACCAGTTAATGATGGCTGCATTTTTGAGGCTGAGGCAGCATAGCCCAAATGACCAACCAGTGAAAATGACAGCACTGAGCATGTGGTTGTCAGCCTGTACTTCAGTTGTTCATTTAAAAATTGATTTGTGAAAACAAACCTCTTGTGTGTACTATTCCCTGAGCACAGTCCAGCCTTATTTGAAGTTGTGGTGGGCATTAATATTTGTTAAAACAGCTTAAAATTAATTAAAGTTAAAAATTTGTTAAAACAATCAGCAGGTGGAGAGTGCAGCTACTTTTCACCTGAGGATGCTGAACTTTCTCAGCACTTGCTCTGTGATGTGATATAGAGATTTCAAATTTCACATAAGTAACAATTCACAAGTGCAGGGCTGTGTATTTTTGTCAAAGACATGGGTTACTCTGGTTCAGATCGTATCTGCTCCTCAGGAAGGAACTTGAACAAAAAAAAATCATTGTGAACCCAACCCACATAAAAAAACCTCTCCCTGCCTTACAAATGTCTTGCTCTCTCTTATCTCTAGAAACAGAAAGTGAGAACGAATTTCGTCCTTTGGATGAGAGGATAGATGAATTTCACCCAAAAGCAACAAGAACTCTCTTCATTGGCAACCTGGAGAAAACAACCACCTACCATGACCTTCGCAACATCTTCCAGCGCTTTGGTGGAATTGTGGTACGTGGGTTCCCTGCACCCTGCAGGCTGTCACTGCCTGCTCCTGCTGCACAGCCCTGTGAACTGCTCTGAGCAGTGGTAAATCAGAGTGTTGATGACAAGTATTTTCAGTCTCTTTCTAATCATCTGAGTTGTTCATCTCACTGGAATACACCTGAGAGCTTTTCTTTGCATTTGGAGGCCTGTAACCAGTGGTGTCCCCCAGGGGTCAGTACTCAGCCTGGTCTCGTTCAACATACTGATCAATGACCTGAACGAGGGGACAGAATGTATCCTCAGCAAGTTCCCTGATGGTATCAAACTGGGAGGGGTGGTGACACTCCAGAGGGCTGTACTGCCATCCAGGGTGACCCAGACAAGCTGGAGAGCTGAGCAGAGAGGAACCTCATGAGGTTCAACAAGGCTTCTGTACCTGGGGAGGAAGAGCCCCATGCACCAATATAGGTTAGGGGTGGACCTGCTGGAAAGCAGTTCTGAGGAGGAGGATCTGGGAGTCCTGGTGGACAGTAATTTAACAGTGAGCCAGCAATGTGCCCTTGTGGCCAAGAAGGCCAATGGAATCCTGGGATCCATTGGGAAGAGTGTGGCCAATCGGTCAAGAGGGATCACCCTCCCCCTCTATTCTGCCCTGGTGAGCCACACCTGGAGAACTGGGACCAAGTCTTGCCTCCCCAGTTCAAGAGGGACAGGAATCTGCTGGAGAGAGTCGAGGGGAGGGCAAAAAAGATGACTGGGGGACTAGAGCATCCTCTTACAATGAGGGGCAATGGTCACAAGTTGGAACATGGGAAGTTCCATTTAAATATGAGGAAAAAATTCTTTATGGTGAGGGTGATGGAGCCCTGGGACAGGCTGCCCAGGGAGGGTGTGGAGTCCCCTTCTCTGGAGATAGTCAGCCACCCCTCTGGGTGCAGCCCTGTGGAATGTGCTCTAGGGCATCCTGCTTTAGCAGGGGGCTTGGCGTAGATGATCTCTAGAGGTCCTTCCAACTCTAAGATTCTGTGATTTACAGTGAAATCTTAGCACAGGCATATTGAGGGGATAACTCAGCAGCAGGAACAGTCCAAGGAGCATGTACCAGGAATGTGTTTTCTGCTAGGTCAGAGCTTCTGCAGGCAGCCTGGCCAGGTGGTTAGGATGTGCCTGGTGTTATTTTCACATTGAATCAGTACAGCTCTGGGAAGGCTCTATTTCCTGTGGATGTCTGAGACAACAGCAAGTGCTGGGTGTGGAATCAGCCCTCAGCTCTTGGGCTGTGCCCTGGCCGTTGGGCAGAAGAGGCACAGAGCAGATGGATTAGTGATGGCACGGGTGGGATTTGGGTTTTCAGGGGAGCAGGTGTATCTGAATGAGAGAGAGCAGCAGTTCCCCCTCCTCATGTTCTGTCAAGCCATGTCAGTATCACATTGAAGAGAAATTATCCAGAAAAGTAAAATAAGTGTCCACATTCAGCTAAATTGATTGAATCTGGGCTTCTGCACTGGTGGTTTATGTCCTCCCTGGGAGCTGTGGCTGCTCAGGAACATGCTGTGCCTTGTTCATTCTGCTCTGAAATACTTTTGTATCTGTTGAGGTCACACTTCTGGGGAACCACATAGATAGCCCCCAAAAAAGAAGAGATATGCTTTCAAATACGCTGTGGACAAATACAACATTTACATTTTATAATGTCTGGCAGTTCTTGTGCATCCAACCTCCACCATATCCTTGGCATCACATGGATTTATGAATTCACACAGTGTCAGTGGCTTAAACCTTTTTCTAATGTTACACCAGCAGAGCTGCCCTGATACAAATGCTTATCAGCAGCAGTGCCTCTGTCCTGTCAATGGGCTTCTCTCTGAAACAGTGCTGTCCTGTCAGCATTATTAATGGGTCAGAATTCAGCAGTAGTGCTGCCTTCTATCTTTTCAATGAAAACTTAACCGGCTCAGGTGCAAAAGGGACCAGTTTTATAACCTTTCTGGTGGGTAATGAGCAAAGTAATGATGTTTTGTTTGCCTGTCAGAAGGAATTGCTTGCCCAGGGTGAGTGGTCCAGTATAATTGGCCATGGTTGCAGCAGTGCTACTTCAGACCCTTGGAAATGAAGTCCTCTGTTAGTATTCCACTTAAATCATTAGGCTGGGGCTATCAAGTTGTGTAAATCTCCCTGTTTACTTCTGTTTCCCTAGATTAAGAGCTCTTGGGTGAGACCATATCAAACTGCTTCCTGGTCCCTAAATTTATTAACTATGAAAGTAGTCAGTCCTGGATGTATGAACATTTGTGCTTAGATTCATGTGCTGGGGTTGGCATGTAGCTCACAGGGAAGCTGGTGCTATTTCAACAGAACAAAACCCTCCACCTTCTATTTTCAGCTCAGAATGAGTCATAACATCATGGGCTTGTTTGGTACCTTTGCCAGCGCTAGTGCTGAGCCTTGGTGTTAACCAACTGTCAGCTCTGAGCTCGATGGCAGTTCAAAAGTGGTTAAAATCAGCCTTTCTTAGGCTGTTGTAGCTTTCTCTTGACTGCACTTGCTTTGGAGTGGGGCTGTGGTGGCTTGGGGTCAGATACCAGCAGTGAAAGAAGCTGAGGCTCTTTAGCCTTTGCCACACCAGTGCCAAGGTGGCTCAAGAGATGACACCAGCGTCCCTTTATGTTTCTAGGAACAGGATGGATGGTATTTATTTGGAAAAGAAACCCTGCTTACCTCTTGGCTCAGAAACCAGGATTGGAGCAGGTTGTTTTCTCTTGAGCCTTTGTGAGAGAAAATTAATCTGTATTTCTTTGAGTTGTCTCTTCCTGACAGAATATGTGGGTGTTGGTCAGGTCAAGCTAACTTCTGTGGGGTTGAATTTTAAACCTGCATTTTGAAGTGCTTTTCCCTACAAAAAAGTTTGGGTTTGCCATTGAAAGACATCCAGCAGAACAGTGAAGTTTTAAACTGTTTATTATTGTTTAAATCCTCTCTCTGAAAAAATGCTAATTAAAGACTGCTTGCTGTGCCATGTAAAGTCCACTTAGATCCCCCTACCCCGTTGAATGTCCTTTTTGGCCTGTTGCTGACTCTCCATTGTTCTGTTTTGTGTTTTTCCCCAGGATATTGACATTAAGAAAGTAAATGGTGTTCCTCAGCAAGCATTCCT